CTTCTTCACACCCTCTTCTCCCTCCTTCTCCTCCTCCCCAGGGTGACGTGGGTGACCTCGGCCTCCCCGGTGTACCGGGACCCAAGGTACTGTGCCTGGGCTGGGTTTTCTGGGGGAGTCCCATTGCATACTGGAGGCAGGGATGCTGCTTGGGGGGCATCTTGCACAGGAATGGGGAGGGGGATGCTGGTATTTGCGTTTCTCCCAGGTCAGTGCCACAGCTCAAGGGTGCACAGAGCTGGTGACCCCCCCAAGGATGCTTTCCAGGCTCTTGCCACCCTGCCTTGACTTTGCTCCAGGCACTGCTGCAGCTAGAGGCAGGCAGGGAAGCTGAGCAGCGTGTTTCAAGGCACAGAAGAGAGTTTGCCAGGAGGGTTTTGAGTGCCCACACCCCATCTGTGCATCACTCTCTCCTGTCTGCCTGCTTCAGCTTCTCTCCACCATGCTTCCCCAAAGGTGAAAGTAAAGGCTTGCTGGGAGCCAGGCTGCCCCTTGGGATGGCCCATCCACTGCAGCCTGAGCTGGGAGCAAGAATCTCAAAAATTAAGGTTTCTTACCCTTAATTCTAACCTTCTGCCAGCACCCAGGGGGCAGATGGGGTGGCAGTGAGTGTAAGGACCGATCCTGGTGCTCCGAGAACCATCAGGAAGCCCAGGGATGCCTGCAAGCATCCCTGCCCAGCACCGAGCTCTGCTGCAGCATTGGCTCCAGCCACATGTGCAAAATTATTCACATTTATGACTTTAGACAAGCCTCTGGTGGCCACTGTGGACATTACATGGGGAGCTGGTGGGATGAAAGATACCTGAGCTGGGCAGTGCCCCTTCCCACAAAGCCCCCAGACAGGAGAGCATCGTGGAGAGCATCTGTGTCCTGTCCCAAAGAAGATTTGGGAAGCGATGTACTGCCTCTTGCTTGCAGGCTCCAGGCAGGGACCATTGTCCCCTTCCATCTGTCCCCTTGTTGTCCCCTTTGCAGGGCAACAAAGGAGAAATGGGACCAGCAGGACCGCCGGGAGAAACGGGTTTAGCTGGCCTTCCTGGGCCCATCGGACCCCGAGGGCAGCCAGGGCCTCCCGGGCCCCCGGGCCCACCAGGGCCAGGCTACGAGGCTGGATTTGTAAGTGGTCACTGCAGTGATGGCGGGGGGGATGAGCTGGAGCTGGGGACAGACGCGGCTCAGCCCCTTCTCCCCCCATTTAGGGTGACATGGAGGGCTCGGGGCTGTCATTCACCCCTGGACCACCTGGACCTGAAGGGCCACAGGTAGCTGTGTTCTTGCCCTCTCCATCCTGGGCATCCTGGGGTATTCCCTGCCATCGTGCCCCCTGTCATCATGCGATGCTCATGGTCTCCTTGTTGCTTGCAGGGGCTGCCAGGACTGCCAGGGGCGAAGGTGAGGAAGCCTTGCAACATTTTCTCACCCTGGCTCCATCCTTGCAGCATACCTACAGGCAGCCTGTAGGAATGCTGCTCTGACACCTCTTTCCTTGCAGGGAGAGGTCGGCAGCCCTGGACAGCCCGGCTTACCAGGCCCGAAGGTAGGAGCATGGGGAGATTGGGATGGGCTGTGTGCCAGCACCTGGGTTTGCTCCCCAACCTGGGGCTGGCTGCTCCCTACTGCATCCTTCTCTTTCCCACTCCTCATTGCAGGGAGATGCTGGCATGCCTGGTGTGGATGGACGTCCTGGCCTGGAGGGCTTCCCTGGACCACAGGTAGGAGCATCAGCCTCCCAGTTCCAAAAGCCCCCTCACTGCTGGCAGGACACTCTTGATTGCAGCAGCTCCATCTCCAGCAGCCGAAATTCCCCCTCCCTGCTTTGGGACCTGGCTCACTGCATGCCAGGGGTGCCCTTACACCTTAGGACCTGTCCTCATCACCTTGCCACCCCACTCACCATGCAAAACTGTCTCAGCCTGGCTCGCTGTCTGGACCTTAGAGGCAGAGTGGGGTGGCCGGAGTGGTGGTGCTGAGCTGGAGGTGGGAGGGCGTCTCCTCTCGTGAGCCAGAGTCTGGTTCCGTGTGGTGCCAAGCAGGAAGCTCACCCCTGCCTGCTTCTCCTTCCAGGGACCCAAAGGTGACCAAGGCAGCCCTGGTGAGAAGGTAGGTGCCACCATGCTGGGGATGGGGATCGGCTGGTGGTGGCCCTAGGGCTGATGGCTTGTGTCTTCCAGGGAGAGCGAGGACAAGATGGTGTGGGGCTGCCCGGCCCCCCAGGGCCACCCGGTCCCCCTGGACAGGTCATCACTCTCTCAAGTGAAGATGTAAGTGGTGGCACCTGGCTTCAGCACAGTTGGGGGAAGTTAAACCTTGGGGGGAGGAAGGGGTGTTCCCAGCAGCAGCCATCATGTGGGGGGACTGAGGGAGACCTCTCCAGGAGCTCTGACTTGCAGAGCAAAGATCGGGGTGAAAAACCTCATTTTGTCTCTTTCTGCAGAAGTCTTTGGTGGCTTTTCCTGGTCCAGAGGTAGGTGCCCTCCTGACACCCATGCCCACCCCTCAGCAATACCAGGAGGGCACCCTGTTTTTTGGAAAGAGGGGGTTTGCTCTTAGAAGCATCTCTGCTTCTCTCTGCAGGGCAGACCAGGCCACGCTGGCTTCCCGGTGAGTCAGTGACACGTCTGGGGACCACAGGGGTGGCCTCGGTGACAGCTCTGGTTGCTGGTCCTGCCGGGCTTTGCCACAGGGTGATGGTGATGGAGGAGGGGTTTGGGGTCTGCCTTTGGTGGAGTGGAAATGACATGGGCTCTGTGTTCTCCCTGCAGGGTCCAGTGGGACCAAAAGGAGACAAGGGGTCAACTGGTCCCCAGGGCTCCCCAGGGTTGAAGGTAACTGCTCCAGGCCACCTCTGCCCCATGGGGTGGTCACACTTCTGACCCCAATCCCAGCTGGCTGCCGGGTCCTGCTGGTGACACCAGCCCTGGCACAGGAGGGAGCCTGGCCCCTCCATGTCCCCTTGCACCTCCTCCTCTCTTGCAGGGGGAGAAGGGGGAACCCGGTGTCATCATCAGCCCTGATGGGACCGTGGTCACCGCAAAGGTGAAAGGAGAAAAGGTGGGGGCATGGTGGGAACGGGGGTCACATCCCCATGTGACAGCTGCTGGGTAGTCCTGGTGGTGATGCCCTTTCCCTCTCCATTATCTGCAGGGGGAGCCGGGGCTGCAGGGACCAATGGGACCTTCAGTAAGTCACTGTCACCATCCTCCTTGTATCCCATGGGGAGGGACAAGGATGATCCTGGGCAAAGGGGGACAGTGGGTGCTCCCATATTAAGCATCCTCATCCTCATCTTCCCTCCCTTCCAGGGTCCCCGGGGACAACCAGGGATGAAGGGAGAGATTGGCTTTCCAGGCAGACCCGTAAGACCTGCTCCCGGTTTGTTTGTCTCCTCAGCCATCGCCTCCACCCCCTCCCTGCTCCCTGTTTGCATGTCTTTCATCCACTGAACCCCAAACCCTGCTGTGTCCCTGAGGGATGGGGTGATGCCGGGGCATCGGAGGCAATGCCAGGGTGTCATGGGTGACTCTGGAGCATCAGACGTGACACCAGGGGTTGGCAGGGGGACGGGGACGAGGCTCATCTGTGCTGCTCATCCACAGGGACGTCCTGGCATGAATGGGCTGAAGGGTGAGAAGGGTGACCCCGCAGACGTGCTGGGCTTGCGGGTGAGCACTGCTGCAGCCCCCCGGCTGCTGGCCCTGCAGAGTGGGGGAAACACAACAAGGGTCTCCCTGAGGACCCCAATCTCTTAGGCGAAGGGCACGTGTCTCCCTCTCTCAGGGGCTGGTTGGCCCTCTGGAGCAGGGCATGGCCCTGGTGTCCCCCCACCATGGTGGGGACTGTCCATTTTGCAGGATCCTGACACATCTTCTTGCCCTCTACAGGGTCCCCCAGGGCCCCCAGGACCTCCTGGGCCCCCTGGGCCACCTGGCAGCATAGCCTACAACAGTGGCAATGTGAGTAACAACATGGTCAGCATGATGGAGGTGCTGGTGACTGGGTCCCCCAGTGCCTCCTGTCTGGGGCTAGCACATTGGACTGTCACCAGCTTTGAGGGGGGTCCCCAGGGATGCTGCTGTCTCTGCAGCCACTTCTTTTGCATCTCCACAGACCTTCAGTGACTCCAGCCATCCTGCACTGCCAGCGTTTCCTGGTAAGGGAGTATCTTCTCCCAGCCCCATCTGGGCAGTTTGGGGAACCTCAGCAAGACAGGACTGGGGGCAAACCCGGTCCCTTCGAGCTGGGATGCTACAGCTCTGAGATGGCATCCCTGCTGCTGCCCACAGGTCTCCACCAGTTCCCAGGACAGAAGGGAGAGAAAGGTGATGCCGGACCCCCAGGGCCCCCAGGTAGGTGATCGGTCCCCACACACAGAGGCAGGCAAGGGGTGGCTCGTGCCCATCCCTGCTCTCCTCTCCTTTCCCTCTTTTCACAGGGCACTTCCCCTATGACCCGACTCACTTTGGCACCAACCTGCGGGTAAGGCCTTTGCACACTGGTGGCTGGAACCCAGCACGATTTGGGGTACTGGAGTGTGCCCTGGCCACTCACCCTAAGGTTGTGCCATCCCACAGGGTGACAAGGGAGATGCAGGTCCCAAGGGTGAGAAGGGTGAGCCGGGCAGCACCCCACTCTACAATCCCAGTGTTTCCGGGCTGCCAGGGCCTCCAGGGCCCCAGGGATACCCTGGGCTGCCAGTGAGTACCTCACGGGGCAGGGAGCAAGGGGGGCATGACGTCGGGCAGCATCCCTGGGGGCTTTGCTACAAGGGATGTTCTCTCATTCCACCCAGGGTCCCAAGGGAGACAGTATTGTCGGGCCACCGGGGCCTCCTGGACCTCAGGGTCCCCCTGGTATTGGATATGAGGGGCAGCAGGGCCCCCCTGGCCCTCCCGGCCCCCCTGGTCCACCCTCCTTCCCAGGTCCCCACAGACAAGGTGAGTACCTGCCCTGTTGCATCCCTCCATGTGCCACCTCCACATCCCTCCATTCACCCCCCCGCATCCCTCCTGCACCTTGGCATCTGTCTCTGCATCCCTATATCTCTCCCTGTACCCCAGCATCCCTCCCTGCCCCCCACTGCATCCTTCCCTGCTGCATCTGATGCACCCTTTCCTGCACCTCTGCATCCTGCCCCATGCTGCATCCCTCTACATCTCACCCTTCTCCCCTCACAGCTATCAGCATCCCTGGACCCCCAGGACCACCAGGACCCCCTGGACCACCAGGCACTAGCGGGTTATCCTTGGGGGTGAGTTAGGGCTCTGGGCAGGGTGTTGCCTGTGTGCCAGACGGCTGGTCCCTGAGCCCCCCGCCGTGCTGTGCTCGCAGCTCCGTGCCATGCCAACATACCAGGTGATGCTGAGCGCCGCACACGAGCTGCCCGAGGGCAGCCTCATCTTCCTGACTGACCGGCAAGAGCTCTACGTCCGCCTGCGCGGGGGCTTCCGACGGGTGCTGGTGAGTAGGGGGGACCAGAGGGGAGCCCCATCCTGGGTTGCAGCACCCAGCTCTTGGGGAGTGCAGACAGCACCACCCTGGGGGTTTGGTGGTGACTCTCGGTGATGCTCGGGGGTCCCCCCACCTGTGTGCGAGGAAGAGAAGAAGGGGGCCCCTGGGATCTGATGTGTCATGCCCTTACAGCTGGAGGAGCACAACCTGATCCCCAGTTCAGCTCTGGTGAGTCCTGTGTTCCCCATGCCCACCCTTATCCCCCATTTCCATCCCTATCCTTCATCCTCATACATCCTCATCCCATCCCCATTCTCTATCCTCATACATGCTCATCCCATCCCCAGCCATCTCCATCCGAAATCATCTTCATCCTCTTCTCCATCTGTCCCCAACCATCTCAGTCCCCATCCCCAACCATGTCCACTTTCATCCCCATCCATCCCCAGCATTCTCCATCTCTGTCCCCGTCTCCATGCATCCCCAGCATTCTCTATCTGCATCCCTAACCATCTCCATCCACCCCAACCACCTCCATCTCCACCCCTGTCTCCATTCATCCCCAACCACATCTATCTCTATCCCCAACCATCTCCATCCCCACTTGGGGCACCACCACCACCCCTCAGCCTGTCTCCCCCTCCTCAGGACAACGAGGTGTACGACAAGCCGCCCACCATCCACTACGCTGGCACCCAGCCCCACGGGCCCCTGCACCCCCTCCGTAACCATGTCCCCCCCCCCACTGCCCGACCCTGGCGTGGGGATGAGGTGGTGGCCAACCAGCACCGCCTGCCTGAGCAACCCCTGCTCCACCACCAGGACGAGCTCCTCAACAGCTACTACATCCACCGCCGGCCGGATCCGGCTCCCGTGGCTGCCCACGTGCACCAGGACTTCCAGCCCGCTGTGAGTGCCATTTGCTGGCCGAGGGCAGGTGATGGTGGTGGCCAAAGCCATGTCCCTCAAGCCCTGTTGTCCCCTCTTGACAGCTTCACCTGGTGGCCCTGAACACCCCCCTCAGTGGCGGCATGCGTGGCATCCGGGGCGCTGATTTCCAGTGCTTCCAGCAAGCCCGGCAGGTCGGGCTGGCCGGCACCTTCCGCGCCTTCCTCTCCTCACGCTTGCAGGATCTCTACAGCATCGTGCGCAGGGCCGACCGTGCCGCTGTCCCCATCGTCAACCTCCGGGTAGGTGTGTCCCCATTCCCTTCCTGACACTCCATGAGCTCCAAGGGATCACAGAATAGCATCATAGAATCATTATGGTTGGAAAAGACCTCTAAGATTATTGAGTCCAACCATTAACCCACCACTGCCAAGGAAGCCCCCATTCATCCATGAAGCATCTCCTCTTCCCGGAGGCTGCTGGGGCTTGTAGCTCCTGGGATGCTCCTGGGGTGAAGGCAGGGCTAACCCTCCCCCATTTTCCAACTCTTCCCACCAGGATGAAGTGCTCTTCAATAACTGGGAAGCCCTTTTCACAGGCAGCGGGGCTCCGCTGCGAGCTGGCACTCGTATCCTCTCCTTCGACGGCCGGGATGTCCTGCGGGATGCGGGATGGTGAGTTCGGGATTGAGCGATGGGGAAATGGGGTTTGGAGCATGGGGAGTGCAGCAGCAGCCTCCCACCTTTCATCCTTCCAGGCCACAGAAGAGTGTGTGGCACGGCTCGGATGCCAAGGGCCGGCGCTTGCCCGACAGCTACTGTGAGACGTGGCGAACGGAGGAGCGTGCCGTCACCGGCCAGGCTTCCTCACTGACCTCCAGAAAACTGCTGGAGCAGGTGGCCAGCAGCTGCCAGCACGCCTTCATCGTCCTCTGCATCGAGAACAGCTTCATGACCGCCGCCAAAAAGTGACACCCACCCTCCCATCCCCTGGGTACCCCCATTTCCCCAGGGAGGGGCGGGGACCCTGCACCCTGGCACCCCTGGGGTCCTCAGCTCCCTCCACGTGCCTGCTCTCGCCCCGCAGGGTTTTCTTCTCCCGCAGACCTGAAGCCAAAGAGTATTGCCATGGCCCCTGCCCTGGATCGGCAGGGGCTTGGGTGCCACCCGGGGCAGAGCAGCCATGAGCTGGCTGCCTTCCTCCTTCTCCTCCTCATCCCCTCACTCTTCTTCTAACTCCTAATATTTAACCACTTCAGCTTGTTCCCCCACTTGCTTGGATGCTCTTTTTGGCATGGCTGGCTGGGAGGCTGCTTGACAGGGAGATTTCAGAGCTGCCATGTCAGGTGCCCTCCCTAAGAGCCTGTGGGGGCTCCCTGACCAGCACCCCAGCCCCACACTGTCCTCACCAGGAGCTTGGCGTTGGACCCAAATCTCTGCTGCTGGGGCCATGGGATCTTCTTCAGCCAAAATCCTGGCATCCCACCCAAGGGACTGTCCCATGGCAGTGCTTGGGCTCCCTCAGATGGTCTCCCTCCTCCCCAGGTAAAGACTATCCCATCATCATCCTCACCTCCACCTCCCAGCCAGCAGAGCTCTGGCGGGGGTCTGGTCTCCCCCATCCCCTGCACACACCCTCGGGACCTCTGTCCCTGCCCCTGCAGCCCAGGTACAGCCACAGTCAGCCCAGAACAGGTACTGGGCTGAAGGGGTGGCCCCGATGTGTGGCCAGATGTGCCCTTGGCGTGTGTTTATGTGCGTGTGCGTGTTGAGTACGTGTGGTATCAAGGGCAGGCACTGCCATCCCCCCTCCCCATGCCACCTTTGCTGGGCTTGAATGGTGAAGGCGCAGCAAAACTGGTTAGAATTGGTGTGGGCAAATCCAAGGTGCTAAAAAAAAACCAAAAAAAAAAAGAAAGAGAAATCTGTAACTAGCTTTTTTTTGTTATTGTATGGAAATTATTACCATAAAAGCTGTGCGAGTCACACAGTCTTTATTTCTTACAGTCTACTGTATTTTGTGTAATTAATGCAATTTAAAGCCTGTGGATCTTTATATTATTTTTTTGTTGTTGGTTGTGTCCTATAAACCATTTTCTAAAGGCACTGAATAAAGAAACATCCTCTTGTAGCTTGGCTCCGTGCCATGATGGGGATGTAGCGGGATGGGGTCCCCGTCCATATCCCTGTGTGGTATCCCATGGTGCTCTGTGTTTGGGGGTTGGAAGGGGCACAGCCCTGTCTCCATGGAGCAGAAAACATGTCCCAAGGGTTATACCCTCAACAGACCAGCACTGAGGACCAGCAGCGGGACAGGAGACCAACCGCACGGTGATGATGACGACGCTCACTTAGGGAGCCAGGAGCCAGCCATGGTGTCATGGTGCCAGCGCTCAGGCTCACACGGTGCCTGCCTCTGGGCTTTTCTCCTGTGCTGGAATCTCCACGGGGCGCTGGCACGGCTCCTTGGCCAAGGCCAGCTCTGCCGGCTGCCTGCGGCGGCTGTGCCGGATGCCCACACCGACGGCTGCCAGCAGGTAGACGACGGCCAGCAGTGTGAAGTAACCAAAATACATGTAGAACTGGAAGAGAGGAGGGGGGAAAGAACAACACTTGAAGCCCTGCCCTCATCCCACACCATTCAGGGACCACCTCCACCCTAGATGCCCCCCCATCCCTACCTGGGGATGCACAGATAAGCCCAAGCCCCTCTCGTCGGCCACGATGACAGTGATAATGGTCTTCAGCACGGTGCCAAAGAAGGTGTTGACCCCGAAGACCAGAGCACAGAGCTCTTTGGAGAGGGAGGTAGCAATCTGGAAACTGGGAAAAATGGGAGCACTGGTGAATCCCTGAAATCAACCCAGCCGCCGGGGTGGGAGCAGATCCCCAGGGGCTCCACGCACATGGCAATTGGAACCAGGAACTGGTAGGAGCCACGGAAGAGGACGTAGGCAACATAGCACAACCAAATGTTGGTGGTGGAGTTCATGAGTAGGAGCAACCCCGCCTGGAATGCCGTCACCACTCCGATCACCAGCTCTGACCACAGTGTCCAGCGGATCTTCACGTAGCCAGCGGCAAAGGAGGCAACGGCCCCTGAGGAGGGATGAAGGATGCTGTGAGCACCTCAGGGGCCACGTGGCCTAGGCTGGGACCCAGCCCAGTGATGATCACGTGATCCCCAAAGCCAGACCACCCCCTACATTCCCGGACATTCCATAAGGACCACCATTCCTAAGGGACGCAGTGGGATGCAGTGTCCCTCCACATCCCCACTGTCCCCAGCTATTCCCAGGGGATGCAGCAGGATGAGGGTGTCCTGCCCCCATCTCCAGTGTCCCCATCCCACATGAGCTTACCCAGCAGCGTGGAGGCAGCATCCACCCCTCCGTTGTACACCCGGTGGTTGTCCGTGGTGGGAGAGATCTCATTCCAGAGGATGTGTGCGTAGTACAGCATCAGGTAGTACCCAGCTGAGTTGAAGATCCACCACAAGGACCAGAGCCGGAGCTGGGGCTGCCTGGCCAATGCTCCCACCTCCCGCAGCATTCGGCACAGCACCGCGTCCCTCCAGCCCTGTGCTCCCCCCCTGCCATCCCCCTCAGCCATCCTGTCTAGCTCCGTGGATGCAGCCCCGTCACCAGCCCCCCCAGGCCGGTTGAAGAAGAGGCTGCGCCGGGGCCGCTCAAGGAAGAGGGTGAGGATGAGGCCGAAGCTGACAAAGCCCAAGGAGACGTAGTTGAGCATGAGGAAGGAGACGCTGCCCAAGGTGACACAGAGCTGGCCCAACACCGAGCTGGTGAAGACACCCATGAGGACAGAGGAGCGGGAATAACTGGCCATCCGCTGGTAGCGGGACGGGGCAACAAGGGAGAAGATGTAGGAGGAGTAAGCGATGCGGGCAGCCATGGTGATGCCGTAGAAGAACTCCATCAGCTGCATGGCCAGGACGGAGGTGCCCAACACCAGCAGCAGCCAGATGGAGATGTGGCTCAGGCTCTGCAGCACCAGCACTGGCTTGTAGCGCAGGTAGTCCGTCAGCAGGAAGATGGGCACCAGCACAGCCATGTATGAGTAGGACAGCACCGGCGTGATCACATTGGTCACCTGCCATGTGGGCAAGGAGGGGCTCAGCACTGGATACATCCTTGGGGTTGCCCCCCAGCCTGGAGGAATGTGGTTTGTGTGGGCACCAGCTGCTGACCTCCATTGCAGCACCTCCTCAGGGAGGAATGTGACCAGCAGCGTGCTCGGCTGGGGGTCTGGCTGAGACTCAGCCCCCTCCCACGCCAGGACGCAGTGTTCCCACAGACACAGCAGCTGGCTGGGATTGGGGCCAGCATCCCTTGGTCGAGGGACGATGACATGTGGCCCCTCCTTGTCTAACTCCGTCATTACCAGCAGCCCAGTGGTGCACAGTGCCAGCATGGAAAGGTCTCCCCAGTGGGATGGGGTGGGGCTTCTCCCAGCCTGGCAACCCCCTGCCATCTAACAGGCTGCTCAGGTGGGCAGGGATCAAGCCTCACCCCGACCAGTTGCTAGCCTGGGCATGAGGTCTTATGCCACAGCAGGTTGAACCTGGGACTTAGGAGACAGGGTGACCTCACAGCCAAGTGAGGCAGGGACCCACTCCTCCCCACCTTCTCCCCCCAGAAAGCACCACCATGAGTCACCACACCACTGTGCCTGGCACATGACACCCCCCACGCACCCCAGAACCACAGAGGGATGCTCTGGGCAGCCCCAGGGTGGTGACAGTGGCTGGAAAGGGGGACCCCAGGGTGGGGGACAGGGTGCCCATGTCTCACCTCTGCCTTGGTGAAGTTCTGGTCCGGCCCCAAGAGATAAGGGGTGATGAAGCTCTCCCCGGGCCGGATCTGCGTCATGAAGCCATAGAAGCAGAGGTAGAAGACTTGTAGCTTCCAGTGCTGGTCCGGCACCGTCTCTGATGCCGGCTTTTTGGCACCATCATCCTTCTTGGGCATGGCTCTGCAGCAGGACAGCAGCGTAATCCTGGGAGCCATCAGCTACACGGGCTTTGCCGGACCAGGCGGCCCCTCTCTGTCTGCAGGCGCTCTTGAATGCATGGAAAACCACGGCACTGCAGTTTCTGGGGGAAAAGCAGCATTTGGCGGGGGCTCAAAATTCCTCCAGAATCGCAAGGCAAATAAATACCACTACCTTCTCTGCAGGAGGTGTTCTGGGAAGAAGAAAAGCAGCCATGTGTCTCGCTGTGCAAAAGCAGGGGGGGGTCATTTCAGCGACATTTGTAAATCATGTGCATCCGGAGCCTGGATGCACGAAGCACCTGGATCCACAGTGGGGCATCCTCAGACCCTAGCACCTCCTTTTCCTCCCTTTTAAGAGTCAGGGGGGTTTTAGAGCTTCCTTAAGCAGTGCTTCCCTCTGAGCTGCAGACCCAGGGGGATGCAGATGCTCTGTGTCGGGAATGCTCCGGAGGGGAACGGCAGCAACCACCGGGACTGTGCCGGTTGTGGAAGCGAGTTAATGTGCACACTGGGCACGGGGCCGCTGTGTTATACAGTAGCTGGGTAGTTGGCAGGACTTTAGCTGAGCCACAGGCAAGCGGCTGCCCCTTGGCTCTTCCCGGCGGGACACAATGCCCAGCCTGGGGAGAATGCAAAATGCCATGAGATTCACGGTCCAGAGAAGGATTAAAAGCTCAAATCCAGGAGACCTGATTAGCAGTCACGGGATGAGGGAAGTGACTGGAGAAGGCCTAGACTGGGTGCTCCCCACTCCCACAACAGATCGCTGACAGTACTTTTCATGTCATAAAAATCCACGTGTGCCAATCCATGCCACAGGAGCAAGGTCTAAAAACCTGATTACACTGCACATTGCAGAACAACTAATGGTCATTAAAAAACAAGTCCATGGTCCCAGTCTGTGTTCCCCGTGGATCCTGCATGGTGAGACTGGGGGGCTCACCTCTGGAGCCTCCCCATGCCACTGCATAACAAACATGACTAATGGGAACATAAGCCGGGGAAAGCTGGTTGTGACTGACACCAAAAGCAGCAGCAGGAGGCAAAGTGCCCATTTGCCCCAGTGAGGACACCGCTCCAAAGGCATTTCCATGGGATATCAGTGCTGGAGGCTGAGCATCACCAAAACACACATGTCCCAGAGCTCACAGCTGGGCAAACAGCCCCCACCTCTTAAATAGATCCCTGGGGACCAGGGCAG